ATCACAGAGGACAAGGGGGCACTCTTTACATATTTGGAGATTCAATTTTTTTCCTCCAGAGGTAAAGGTTTCTTCACAATGAGAGCTGTGAAAATGTGGAATAGACTCCCTCAAGAGTTGGTTCTGGCCAGCTCAGTGGATTGCTTTAAAAAAGTCCTGGATTCTTTCTTGGATACATAGAATATAACTGGATACTAACATTTATAAGCAAAGTTGATCCAGGGAATATCTGATTGCCTCTCGGGGGATCAGGAAGAAATTTTTTTTCCTTGCAGGAGCAATTTGGATCATGCTTTGCTGGTTTTTTTTTCCCTTCCTCTGGATCAATTGTGGGTATAGGATTATAACTTTTTTTTTTTTTTTTTATGGTTGAACTGGATGGACTTTTGTCTTTTTTTCAGCCAGACTAACTATGTAACTATAGAATAGAACATGAACTGTTTTTAAGTTTTTTCATTAACACAAAAAACCAGATCTGTTTCTAGAAGTTTAGGAGTTTCCAAGATCTGTAAGAAAGGCGCCTTTAAGTGTAGACTTTAAACCCATTTATTTCACACAGTAAAAGAGCAACTTACAAGAGGGTAGATTAAAAGCAGGCATTTCAATAATCCGTCAAGGGGAAGTCCGCCTCAGAGTTACCCTCGACAAAGGAGTGCGCTTGGACAACATTTCTCACAGTGCATGCTCAGGAAACGTGTTGCTACGATGCCCAGTGACGTCATCGCGCATACGTTGCGCTCCACGTGCAGTCCAGACCTTGATACCAGGCCCCTTCCATCTTGCTTGAACACTGACAGAAGGTGGATTGTCATCCACAGCCGCACATTATGTTGCCAACTGCGGTGGACTTCCCCTTGACGGATTATTGAATGCGTGCTTTTAATCTACCGTTTTGTAAGTTGCTCTTTAAACACATTTATTTCACAAAGTAAAAGTCTACACTTAGAGGTGCCTTTCCTCTTTCTTCTCTTTAAATAAGATCACAGCCTCCACGGAAAATTTGCATTGTTTTGTTATTGTGTTTTTTATGTAATATATGAATGTGATGAAAGTTGCTGTTAGAACTACCGTATATACTCGAGTATAAGCCAACCCGAATATAAGCCGAGGTACCTAATTTTACCACAAAAAACTGGGAAAAACTATTGACTCGAGTATAAGCCCCATCATTGGTGTCAGTGGGAGGAATAGTGCAACATCATTGGTATCAGTGGGAGGAATAGTGCCCCATCATTGGTGTCAGTGGGAGGAATAGTGCCCCATCATTGGTATCAGTGGGAGGAATAGTGTCCCATCATTGGTATCAGTGGGGGGAATAGTGCCCCATCATTGGTGTCAGTGGGAGGAATAGTGCCCCATAATTGGTGTCAGTGGGAGGAATAGTGCCCCATCATTGGTATCAGTGGGAGGAATAGTGCCCCATCATTGGTGTCAGTGAGAGGAATAGTGCCCCATCTTTGGTATCACTGGGAGGAATAGTGCCCCATCGTTGGTGTCAGTGGGAGGAATAATGCCCCATCATTAGTATCAGTGGGAGGAATAGTGCCCCATCATTGGTGTCAGTGGGAGGAATAGTGCCCCATCGTTGGTGTCAGTGGGAGGAATAATGCCCCATCATTAGTATCAGTGACACCAATGATGCGGCACTATTCCTCCCACTGACACCAATGACACTTGCTGACCCCTGTTGCAGTATGGTGTTGCTGCAGCCAGCATATGTGGTTGCAGCAGCACCTCTGCACTGCACACTTACCGGCTTTTCCCTCACTCGATTTTCGCGGGTCCGCTCGGCTCCACCTCCTCGCCCGTGATTGGCCGCCTGTGTACCTTTCCCGAGCTACAGTTCTGGCGGCCAATCACCGGTGAGGAGGCGGAGCCGAGCGGCAGGAGTGAGGGAGTGGCCGGAGTGACGGAAGGAGCAGCGCTTCCTGGATGGATCATCGTGGGAGCCAGGTAAGAGACAGCAGCCCTCTGCCCACCCCTGTACGCGCCCCCCTTGACGGAACCTCGCGCCCCCCCCCTGCAGACGCTGACTCGAGTATAAGCCGAGGGGGCCGTTTTTTCAGCACAAAAAATGTGCTGAAAAACTCGGCTTATACTCAAGTATATACGGTAATTGTAAACTTGGCAGCTAATAATCTTGATGCTGCATGATGGCTATTTAAGAGTTGTTCTCTGATTAGGTTTAATTTGAAACAACAGTGTCTGATCAATAGGAATATTGTTTTCATATCTGGGATGGTTTACTTTTTTTTTTTGTGTTTTGAAGGGTAAAGAATACCCAAACATTTACACTAAAAATGTGGTTGTACATCTTTCTGTATTGTCCCTTCCTGTGTGTATTTCCGCTAGATTATGGTGGCATGTACTTTGGTACATTCTGCCATAATCATCTAGAACTGTAAGGCAGTACCACTGGTTGAGTGAAAAACAGAATCCACAGGGTGTGCACAGTACACAGTATCTGCGTTGAAGTACATTTTACTACATGAATGACGGCTTAAATTTAAGCTGCTCATATAATTGTGGTTTATTGCAATTGATTCAAATTTTAAAGTAAGCCCTTTAAAAATAAGGTGCTCTAATTATTTGATATATACATTGCTATATCTGACGCTCAACGATTCTTTGGCCAACACACTCAATACACTTGATTTTGTTTCTTTAAAATGTGCTTGGTAAATCATTAAGAAATGGGTTCCCAGGTTTTTCCTCAATTCTCCCCATTTATTTGGGTTTGGGACTGGCATGCAGAATATGATGGCACATATGTATGGGTAATATGTACACACATACTGGGGTCAGTGTAGACAAGAACCAGTTAGCCTGCAAGAATGTCTTTAGAGTATGGAAGGACACCAGAAATACATACATTAAGTATTGTGAAGTGTGGGCCTAGAGTTTGACAGTTTAGTAGATTCATAGTGTAGAGTTCATGTGGTAGATTGGTGCTGTTCATGTAACAATACTTCACCCTTAACAAAAAAAGTTTTTCTTTTAGTGTTAGGTCAGGTCACTAGGGATCATGGATTTACCTGCTCAGAAATCTATAATGGGCTATATGGGCATTGTTGTTAGTTATGAAAATGCTGGACTGAGAGTCTTGGTAACACACCTGCCTTGACCTCAATCAGAAGCATGTTGGAGAAAGGAGACAAAAGCTTTTGACAGCAGCAACAGTTAATAAAGACTTTGCCACTGTTCAGCAGCTGAACTGTTTGAACAAGTTCCACCTGCTCTGATGGTCAATTACCTGAATTGTTCCATTCACTATCATGGAAAAGTACTTGAATTGTTCTATCTGCTATGATGGTTAGTTACCTGAACTGTTCCATCTGTCATGATTGTCAAGTCAAAAGTTCCATCTACCATGGTGCTCATGTGTCTGCAGGTCTATGACTTGTGAACTGTAATAGTCCGGAGGATAAAATGGACTTTGTATTCTACAGTTGTTTGATTTCTACAGCGTTGCAATTGCTGTGCTACAGCTGCGATTTGAGCATTAGATGGCTAAGACTCTGCTGTCCAGATATGGAGGACTTTGTCAAGCTTCTATCTCTTGGAAAGGAATTTCTGATGTTCATATCTGCTCCTGTGCTTTCAAATTCTTGAAAGGAAAAGTTTGGTGTTTTTTTGTCAGTCCAACATGTAGTTTTTTTTTTTAATGTCTTAATGGCACCATGCTCCGGTGGGGTGCATCATCCAAGAGGGCAAGAGTGGTCAGATGTAAGTCACCAGACAAGGACTGACAGAGGCACCAGAACATCCCCCCAATGGGACCAAAGATGGCATGGTGCCCAGCCTCTCATCCTGGAAGTCATTCTTTCTTTTGGTCTGACATATGCTTTTGTAAGTAAAAAAGTATTTCGTTATGTGAAAACATTTTTTGGCTTATCTATTTATTTTTGGTATATTCATTTCTGATTGTTTATAGATTTACTAGAAAGTCCTTTGTCTATCATGCCCCCTGAGAAAGATCTAGAATATGGAATGATTGAAACACGTTGGGGTTTTTTTTCTCTCTTTTCTGTGTCGTTTCATATTTTTGTTTTCCTGTAAGAATTCTGTCAGAGCAATATTCTTTTTAGAAATCATGTATTTAACATTACAATAGAAATGTGTATGTAATAAAGTTGATCATCTTTTTTAGCAAAATGTCTTTTTCAATATATGTATGATCCTATTGCAGCATTAAAGTCCCACTGGGGGTTCTTTGGATAAACTGATGACATGTTGCCTTTATGTACAGCTGGAGGCATTACTGTATATTTGTGAGCCAGGGGGTGGAGTGATTGGGAAATTGCAAATTACACATTTCCTTATTAATGTTGGCCTCACAAATGTTTAAGAATGCCTCCAAGCCTTGGGTAAAGGGCTACACAAGGACAAGGTCTGATTACCTTAAATACCAAAAGGTAATGTGACTATTTGGACAAGCTAGCTCACTCTCTTTTCCTAATAAGGTCATTATGTTGTTTGCATAGGGTGGGTGGGTTGTAGATTGCTTACACAAAAGTCCAGTATATACAACACAGCTAGATTGGAAATATTGTCTCGTGTAAGAGCTGCAGTATGCATGCTTCTGTGGTCACCTGTGTGCCAGGCCATATAATGGATGGACCCATGACGGAAACAGCAGCTTTAGTTAAGTATTCGTGTTATAATTTATCTTTATCTGTCATTACTTGTAATAAATGTTACACTTATAAGCATTTGTGTGATCTCTCTTTGCATATATCGAATACAACCCAAAAACATACCAAAACATGCATACAATGCATGAAGGCAAAAAACTTTGAGCCTTTACAACCACAATAAGTCAATAAATCTGTAGATTTGTTTTTTTTTTTTTTCACTAAATGCCATCTTCAAGAATATGAATGTTTTATTGAATAAAGCCATTTATAGAGCTGCCATAAAATTGGAGTAAATCTCAAAACCCCAGCACAGCAATGACATGCATCAGCAATGCTAGAACGTACCTGACAGTTCCTCTTTTCTTCTTCTATTCTTTCAAGGACCTGTTCTTTCTTACTGTTAATCTGCTGTATTTCTTGAAGAACATGCGACACACGCCCAACCATAGCCTGTCTCTTTTCTTGAATGCGACTACAATTCCTGTGTAAAAAGAGACAAACAGGTCCAATATAGGCATTTCTATACAAGTGCAGACTATATTAAAGCTGAACTCCAGGAAACAGCTAAAACCAAAAAATAAATACTTTTATGCATGTCAAAATAAAGTGCAACCTGTTACAAGAATATACATCAAATAAACATGTGCTATAAAAGGGAAACACATCCTAGTGCATAAATAAACTATATACTACTCCTCTATACCAGAGGAGATTTGCATTTCTAAGTGCATGTTCTTCCAGGTATTGACTGTATTTCTGCATATCAGTGCAATCTTTTATCCTCCACAATCAAGAACTCAAATGGTACATTGTTTCCAATTACTTCAAAGTGATTTGTGAAATTGCATTCACAGAGAGGAACATTAAGATACAACCACTGTGTGGCACTACTAAACATCCCACCTGTCATTCTCAAGGAGAAATCTACTAACATAGGGCCACCCTAAGACCCAACCAGTGAAGGTAGCCATGGTAACAAATATATAACATGGAGGTATAAAGGAATGGCAAAAATGTTGAAGGTAAGGTATAGTAGTATATAAATCTCCAATATTATAGGCAATACAAAAAACAAAACACCTCCCCCCCAAAAAAAAAAACTTTAAAAAATTAGGAAAATATGAAATACGCCTATGTCTGTTGTTGTTACCCCTTGTTGAGAGAAGCCTCTTTACATAGCTCAATAACTCAAGCTTAAAAAGTTGCACATACAAGCGCACAAGTCTAAGTAGTGACTCAATCCCTCCATCTATACATTGGGGAAAATAGTTATTTGATCCCCTGCAGATTTTGTAAGTTTGCCCACTTACAAATAAATGAAGGGTCTATAATTTTTATCATAGGTATTTTAAAGGATAGAGACAGAATATCAACCAAAAATTCAGATAAAACACATGATACAAATTTTATAATTTGAGTTGCAGTTCAAAATATATTTTAAATAATTTTAAAATAAACAAGTATTTGATCCCCTACCACCCAACAATAATTCTGGCTCTCACAGACTATGTGCTCATGTGGTACACAGATTGGTCATGTCAATTTAAAAAGGTGCCCCTAATGACAACTTGCTATGTGTATAAAAGACAACTGTCCACAGAATCTCTTTCTTCCATTCAAACCTCACCATTATAGGCAAGACCAAAGAACTGTCAAAGGATGTCATAAACAAGACTGTAGACCTGTACAAGCCTGTAATGAGCTACAAGACAATCAGCAAAATAACCATCAATCGTCCCCAGTCTGGAGCTCCATGCAAGATTTCACCTCATGGGGTAAGGAAGATCATGAGAAAAGTGACTGATCAGCCCAGAACTACACAGGAGGAGCTTGTGAATGATCTCAAGGCAGTTGGGACCACAGTCACCAAACAAACCATTGGTGTCACAATATACCGCCATGGATTGAAATCCTACAGCGCCCGCAAGTTCCCCCTCCTCAAGAAGGCACATGTACAAACCAGTCTGAAGTTTGCCAATGAACATCTAAAATGATTCAGAAAAGGATTGAGAGAAAGTGCTGTGGTCAGATGAGACCAAAATTTAGCTCTTTGGCATTAACTTGATTCGTTGTGTTTGGAGGAAGAAAAATGCTGGCTATGACCCTAAGAACACCATCCCTACAATCAAGCACGGAGGTGTAAACATTATGCTTTGCGGCTGTTTCTCTGCTAAAGGTACAAGACGACTTTGCCGCATTGAGGGGCCAATAGACGGGGCCATGTATTGTAAAATCTTGGATGAGAACCTTCTTCCCACAGCCAGAATACTGAAGATGGGTCTTCAGTAGCATGACAATGACCCACAATTTACTGCCAAGGCAACAAAGGATTGTTTCAAGAAGAAGCACATTAGGGTCATGGAGTATCCTAGGCAGTCTCCAGACCTTAATCCTATAGAAAATTTATGGAGGGAGCTGAAACTTTGAGTTGCCAAGTGACAGCCAAGAAACCTTAAGGCTTTAAGAGAAGATCTGTAAAGAAGAGTGGATCAAAATTCCTCCTGAGATGTGTACAAACCTGGTAACCAACTACAAGAAACGTCTTAATTCTGTGCTTGCCAACAAGGGTTTCTCCACCAAGTCATGTTTTGCTTGGGGATCAAATACTTCTTTTACTCACTGAATTGCAACTCAATTTATAACATTTGTATCATGTGCTTATCATTTAAAATACACCTATGATAAAAAATTACAGACCCCTCATTTCTTTGTAGGTGGGCAAACTTACAAAATCTGCAGGGGATCAAATAATTATTTTCCTCACTGTAATAAACAACAGATAACACAACTATCCCTCAACTATCCCTTTTACAAACCAGAATAAATCAGAGCCCAAACCATTAGCATTTCCCTTTAAACATGACACTTCAAAAATATACTAAAACCTTTATCACTAGAGGAACAAAGGGCAGAGTCTAGCTCCCCTGTCTTCCCGATTCACAGCAGTATATGTATTAGTAATACCTAGGTGTGCTTTGAAGACAGATGAAAGCCATTAAAATGAAGATTTTAGGCTTTGTTTCCAGCTCACTGGATAAAAGCCAAATACTTACTCTAAAATTTCTTTCTTTCTCTGCTCAAAGTCCTCTTGTTTCTTTTGGTTTTTAATATCTGTTTTTGCAAGCTTCTCTTTTTTCATGAGAATAGTTCTTTTTAATTGTGCCTCTTCTGAGGTTACGGACTTCAGATCAAGGTTTTCTTTTGCATTTTGCTCTTCTTCTTGTCTAATCTGGAAAATATGAACAGTTAGCTACAAAGAAGGGGCATACAGCCAGTTTTTAAATCAACACAATTCACAAGTATACGTTACCTCTTCCCGAATCTTTTTATACATTTCCAGGTTGGCCTCAATGCTATGCAACTTCTTATTATAGGCTTGCATGTCTGGTAGCCACAAACCAGCCAGGGTCACCCATTCCCGGTAATGTTCATACTTTTCTACAGTCTCTAGCTGTAAAAAGGAAGAGAAAACCTTGTTCAGAGCTTTATTGTAACATATAGTAAACATATACAGTACCCATAGGAAAAGGAAAATATAGATGGTTCTACAGTCACCGAGAATCTATCAAGATCCTGAATATACAGCAAAAACTGATTCTGTTAGCACTTTCAAATAGAAGAGATATGACAGTTTTCATGACTGAACTCTGACCTGAGATACCCATTAAAAAAAAAAAAAAGCAAAAAGGACATAAATACGCATTCAAATGTGTTAAAACGCACATGTGCACAAAAAGCATACATTTTACAAGATTCAGTGTCAAAAAGCTGGCAACTCGGTGGAGTTATAGTTGCAAAATCTTTATTGGCTACTGATCAACATGTACAACATGTAACAAATGTCAATACATTTTGGCCACACTGGCCTTTCTCCTTGCTATGAGGAAGGCCATTGAAGCCGAAACACGTTAGCATTTAAAGATGCTGTACATGGTGATAAGTAGCCAATAAAGATTTTGCAATGAAGTCCAGAGAGTTGTCGGCTTTTTGACTGTGATTCTATGTTGGGGAATGGAACTTCTCAGCATCGGTCTCCAGCTTTTGAAGTTTGATTAGGCAGCTGAGCTCGGTTATGTCTTTTTCTTTATATACATTTTACAAGGGTAGGGATAACAAAAGAAAAGGAAATATATTGGATCGCAGTCTATGGACTGTATGGGCACCATATCAAATATTATTTTCTTTAAAAATACAATTTTTATTGTTGCACGTTAAAACAGCATTAAAACTGAAATAAAAAAATATGACTCACAGTAGCCTCTTGCACCCTTTTATCGATTAGGGTGGTGGATACATAGAACAAACTAGTAGTCTTGAGATCACAGGTATAGACTTATAATCTGATTAGCTCAACATGTTTTGTGTTGTTATTCTGCTTCTTCAGGAGCAGAAGGCACACAGATTTCGATTAATACACAACACGTCAGCAAGAGAGTACCCCGTAAGTGTAACGCCACAAGGATGGACCCAGATTCCCAAAGGATCTCATAGCATACAGATGTTCTATGGGGGGGAGAATGTAACTCCCAATCTATCCTAAGTTGCAAAAATGCTCCCTAAGGCTGGTGCTTCCTAGTTATTCACAGCAAATGCTTTACCCAGACCTCTCGGGCAAATGTTGCAAACAATAATTAACATCATTGGTAATGGTATGTAAACTTCTGGGGATCCAACACAGTAGATCTTAAGTGTGAAAGGTCAGGGTTCCACAGGGGTCTGTAACCACCCATCACTAAATTTGGGATCCCCCAACCTAGTCTGCACTAGTTTATCTTGAGGGTTAATGAGCTCTGCTTTTCCACTCAGTCTTGTCTCGTTTTTTTTTCTTGTTTATATAATTAATTTTACAAGCCTAAAATGATAGAATTCAGATTGTCAAAAATTAGTCAACATTGAATTTAATAATAATAAAGTTTTCACCTTATGGATTCAATTATCCTAACTGTGCTGAGTGTAATTAGGCTTGATGCAATCTATCAAAATGATTCTAATACATTGCTAGTGGATCAGAACAGTCTTACCCTGGCTTGCTTGACTCTGTGGACATTCTCCTTCATCCTCTCTGTCTTATTTTTACGTTGTTCTGGTGATTCCACAATTTGGGATTTCATGCGATCCTGATCCTCCTTCATTGTAGCAATAGCAAGCTTTAACTGGTTCTGCGTCACAAGAAATTGTTTTAATCAATTTTAATTGCGGATTCACAGCCACACAAATGACAAAAGGGGACATTTATCAAGCAAATTAGCAACACAATTGGTTGCAAATTAGGCTGTATCTTGTTCAACAATGTCTCGGAAACAGGTTTACATATCTTTGCGTCTGTATTTCTAAGCAGCCAAGTGCGACTGTTTTCAAATTTGATACAGATTTATTACTAAAGATGAGAGAGATTTTATTCTAATAAAACAGACACATAAAGGCCAGGGTCAGGTTTCATTAACCACTTACCGTCCACCTGCCCGCAATGTACGGCGGATGGGTGGCAGCTAAAGGATCACGGATGTACCCGTGCGTTGCTGGTGTTGTACCAACACAGAGGAGCACTGTGCGCCCAAGCTGGCACGCAACCCTCCCCTACTACCCAGTTTGCTGCGTCCGCCGGACACAGCTGAATGAAGATCCCGGTGAACAAGACCTGGTGATCACAATGACAACAAAGCTGTTATGAATGAATTTGATTCATAACAGCTTTGCTTCTCTTCCTGGTGAGCTGTGATTGGCCCACAGTTCTCACATGATATATGAGGCCAATCACAGCATCCTGTACCATGTGACCAGCTGGAGCCAATCACAGATCACTGTATTTTGAGCTGTCATGAACTTAACCCATTCATGACAGTTCAAAGCAAACCCTGCTTGCAGGAGCAACAACCTTTATTGCAATGCAAAGTGTGTAAAAAAAAAAAAAAAAAATCCCTGATCACCCCCCCAGAGTAGTACAATGTTACTTCTGGTAACATTGTACTACTCTGATGAAAGGATTTTTTTTTTTTTTTTAAATCGTAAAAAAAAAATTTCTCTCAATATTTTTTTCTTGTAACTACTTTGGGCTTGCCCACCCACAATGTGTGGGCGAGTGGCGGCTCTCGGCAAAGCGACGTACCCTTACGTCGCTTTCTATTTCTGTGTGTGCATGCGCCTCCCCCTGCTGCCCCTATGCCGGTCCAGGGAGAGAAGAGAGAACACCGCACTAAAAGCGCTACATTTTACACACACGTTAGATTAGCACATTGAACTTTTTGACCACCCTTATTAATTCTTTGATCATCCTGTCACCCAGCCAGTGCCATTAGTAGGGTCAGTATATAGAACTTTTCACTAATCACTGTATTATTGCCATTAGGGATATCCTATAACTCCAGGGTCAGTTAGCGCACCTTTCAGCTAGCGATAGATTGCTCGCATACTACAGTATCGCACTCACGCTATACGGATCAATATATTGATTACAAAACAGAACTATACTAGTGCCTCCTTAGTATCGTGCTCCCAAAAATGCAATCTTAGCAGGATCAGTCCCATTCGCTGTCAGCACTAGCGTTAAGCTGCTCCTCTGTTTTACACAGAAGATTCATATCAATTAATTGTGGGCCAAAGCAATTTATACGCACAATACATCGACGCCCACCCAAATTCAGCTCTTGTAGACAATTTACATCGAAATCTAATCGTGGTTCCTGAATTTAAAACTTTTTTGGGCCTAACCCTCAACATGGGCATTACAAAAAATTAATTAATTGCAATCCACAGACCCGATTCATCATATGCCCATGTTCTCTGATGTTATGTATAAGCCCAACATGGACCAGCAATGTACGTCACTGGACTTTGAGTGGTTATACCGGGATGATGCCTGCAGCTACAGCAGTGGGAAGGGACTCCTCCCGACCATAGAGCTGACCGGAGACCGGAATGCCTCCAGTCATCTCTATGGTCTAAGAGAACGGAAGAGACAAGCATTTCATAATTTCCGTTTCACCGGATATAAACAACACCATTTTAAAACTGGGAAAGCATCTGATCACACCAAGCTTGGTCTTCAAGGTTAGAAAAGTGGGTGGTGTTTAGCAGAAGCTTTTAATGTTGGCCCTGAAATGCCAGGATAGTAGAAGCACCCTCCAAATCACCCCTTTTTGGAAAGTGGACACTCCAAGGTATTTGCTAAGGGGCATGGTGAATATTTTGCTGTATGTGTTGCCACAAGTTTTGGAAAATGAAGAAAGAAAACAAAAATTTATTTTTTCTTTCAAAACCCTGTGACAAAAATTATATCTGCAAAATACTCACCTTGCCTCTTATCAAATTACTTGGGTTGTCTACTTTCTAAAAAAGGGGTCTTTTGGGGGGGGGGGATAGGTAATGAGGAAGTGACATAAGGATATATGCCCTTTGAAAGCCTGGAGGTGGTCAAGAAATTTTTTGACCTGTATGCAGCTAGGCTGCCAAAAAGTCTCTAACAAGTGACAACTTTTTGTAGAAAAAAAAAAAAAAAAAAGGTTTTTGTAAATTTTCCAAAAATTTGTGGCAAAAAAATTAAACCTTCCATGGACTTGACATGCCTCTCAGAAAAGTCCTTAGGGTGTCTACTTCCCAAAAAGGGGTCATTTGTGGGGGTTGCACTGCTCTGGCATTTTAGCACCTCAAGAAATGTGATAGGCAGTCAGAAAGTAAAAGCTGCTCAATATATATATATATATATATATATATATATATATATATATATATATATATATGATTTTGTTTTACCAAAGTAATGTAGAAGAATACATTTAGACCTAAATTTATAACTAACTTTGGGTTTACTGAATATTTTTTTTTATAACCGAAAGTAGAAAATATAGTTTTCAAATTGGTCTTTTTTATTTTATATCACGAAAAAAAAAACCCATTGGCGATCAAATACCAATAATAATCTCTATTTGTGTGAAAAAAGGACATAAATTTTGCTTGGGTACAGCATCGCATGACCGTGCAATTACCAGTTGAAACAGCTCAGAGCCGAATAGCAAAAAATGGCCTGGTCATTAAGCGGGGAAAATCTTCTGCAGGGCAAATGGTAAACCACAGCCAAAGGAGGTATTTTTGACTGTTGGCCATAACCTTGTAATAAATCTGTCTTACGATCCGTCTCACTATTCCCATTTAGCATTACCTTGCTGTGCAACAGGATTGATAAATGTCCCCAATGTTTTTTAAATTGTTCAAAATTTATTTCAAACTTCCATTTGTACCTTCTGACAGTACACTTTCTTACAGGCAAGTAGGTTTCTTGAGATTTGCCAGGAGAGCATATGAAATTCCTACTGTCCTGGAAGATGGCTGTGGAAATATGGAGTTAGACCTACCACAAACCATTTCCTGGAATCTCCCACAACAGCAGTCGTTCCAAGTTCTATTTCATATACTGTTTCAGGGACACAGTATCAGAAGTAAATTTGAGAAAACTGGTTTATACTGCTGCCTGCAGGAGGAATTGGCAATAAATAAAAGATCAAAGATAAAAAAAGGTTTTCGATTTCATCAGCTAGGGACACAGGGTCATAAGTAAATCATAAGCAATTGGGACGTCCAAAAGCAGTCAAACTGACGGGCGAGCAACAGTAACAAAACACTAACGTCCACATAACAGTATAGATATTGCATAATCAATACGTATCTAAGTGCGCCACCCACCTCCTACAAATATCAAATAACCAAGAGTTTCTGCAACCACTGTAAGAAAAATAAAGTGTTGCGCTACTCAATATTAAAACCGTAATACATAAATATGTGAATAAGAACACTTAATTCATAGAATACTCAGTGCATATATAAATAAACACTGTCCTAATGGTAAATCAAAGTCCAATTCCACATGACAGTACTCCAAATATCTTCAACAATGAATGTAAACTTTAGTGATCATGGAATAACTGAATGCATCACCAATGTGTCCCACCACCATACTTAAGGATGGCCACTCACCTGAGAACCAGGACCTATATATTGGAATATACAGGTCTCATGCACTTTGTAAATTCCCTATTAGAATCCAAGATGGCAGTAACACCTGCTGCTGTATCTTCCGCCACAGTAGTAATCACTATTCGGCAATCCACAGTGCCTTAAATCCTTCTCCTCTCAGCATCCCCATAAGGAAAGGAAGAAAAGCCTCCAATAGTGTAATATTTTTTATTATAAATATTATAATTAAAATTGCCAAATGCACACTCACAAGACTAAAAAATACTCACGCATATTAAATCTACTTGGACTTCCGGTTCGTGGCTCCATACCTGGAAGTGACGTCACTAAGCTCCACCCCACATGTAACGCCACCAACCACATGGCTTCATCAAGGAAAACCTGTTGGGGATGGGGATGCTGAGAGGAGGAGAAGGATTTAAGGCACTGTGGATTGCCCAATTGTGATTACCACTGTGGCGGAAGATACAGCAGAAGGTGTTACTGCCATCTTGAGTCCTAATAGGGAATTTATCAAGTGCAGGAGACCTGTATATTCCAGTATATAGGTCCTGGTTCTCAGGTGAGTGGCCATCCTTAAGTATGGTGGTGGGACACGTTTGTAAAGTTCAGTGATGATGGAATAAGTGAATGCATCACCTTCATTGTTGAAGATATTTGGAGAACTGCAACATGTGGACATGGACTTTGATTTACCATTAGGACAGTGTTCATTTATATGATTTATATATGCACTGAGTATTCTATGAATTAAGTGTTATTTTTCACATATTTATGTATTAAGGTTTTAATATTTAGTAGCGCAACACTTTCATTATTTATTTTTCTTTTGGGTGCGGGATCACTTACAGTGGTTGCAGAAAACTCCTGGTCATTTGATATTTGTAGGAGGTGGATGGCGCACTTAAGATACGTACTGATTATGCACCACTTTCAGTATTGAAACTGCGGACTGCCTACAGCACCTTATGGTCGAAGCTTGCATCAACTAAAACATGAACATCTGCCTGGAAAAAAACTTAGAACGTATAAACGCAAGACCAGGTAGTGGCTTTGGAAATCTGAGAAACATCTGCCTGATGCTGAAAGGCCCAAGAAGCACTTACTGATCTAGTGGCTTGTCCCTTTACAGAATGCCTATAGGCTTGTGTAATGATTGCTAACAGACACAGAGAAATGGGGGAATGAGAAG